TTGACTATCTGTATGCCCTCTTTGGAGAAGTGTCTATTCAGGCCCTTTGCCTATTTGTATTATTTATTTTTTTCAAGGAAAATTTACATTTATTTGCTGATGATGTTAACTAAACATGGCAGAAGTTAAAGAGTCTGTCAGATGAATCCATTTTATAAGAGCAGCTAAAAGTGGTCCATGGAGAGTGACATGAGCATCATCTCAAGCTGAGGCCCTGGCTCTGGGAAAACAGCTAATGGGTGGCCCTGGTCCTTCTGGTCTTAATGGGAGTCCATGAGGAACTAGTTCTCATACTTATGCTTAATGTGTTTCTACAGCTTACCCTGGCTGATGTGTTCATAGATTGTGTCTGCTTTGATTGAAGGTGCACTTGAAGAACAGGGTGCTGACGATGCTGGTAAGGGCAAAAGTGGAGGTTCTGTGGAATAGCAGGGAGTATGACCTCCCAGTTAATGTGGGAACCACGTTTTTCCACTGGCCAGGTTGGGATACCACCTCATTGCCCATTTTTAAACTGGATTGTTTGTTTGGGGTTTTTTTTTTGGTGTTGAGTTGGATAAGTTCTTTATAAATTTTGGATATTAACCCTTTATCAGATGTATCGTTGATGAATATGTTCTCCCATTTAATGGGTTGTCTTTTTATTTTGTTGATGATTTCCTTTACTATGCAAAACCTTTTTAGTTTAATGTAGTTCCATTTGTTTACTTTATCTTTTGTTTCTCTTGCCCGAGGAGATATATCAGAAAAAATATTGCTAAAAGAAATGTCTGAGATTTCTACCGCTAATGTTTTCTTCTAGGATTTTTATGGTTTCATGTCTTACACTTAAGACTTTAACCAATTTTTAGTTTATTCCTGTGTATGGTGCATGAAGGTGGTCTAATTTCATTTTTTGCATGTATCTTTTCAATTTTATTAACACCACTTACTGAATAGCCTATCTTTACCTCACAGTATATTCTTGCCTCCTTTTTCAAATATTAATTGATCATAAATGTGTGGGTTTATTTCTGGACTCTCTATTCTGTTCCATTGATCTACATGTCCATTTTTTCCCCTATTTTGATTACTATGGCCTTGTGGTATAATTTGATATCAGGTAGCATGATTCTTTCAATTTTGTTCTTTCTCAAGATTGCTGTGGCTAGTCAGGGTCTTTTGTGGTTCCACGTAAATTTTTGAAATATTTGTTCTAGTTCTGTGAAATATGCCATTGGTATTTTGGTAGGAATTGCATTGAACCTCTAGATTGATTTGGGTACTATGGCTATTTTAATGATAATTCTTCCTATCCATGAACATGGCATATACTTTACTTATTTGTATCTTTTTCAATTTCTGTTTTCAGTGTCTTATAATTTTCTGAGTACAGGTCTTTTATATCCTTGGTTAAATTTATTCCTAGGTGCATGTTTTATTTTTTTGAAGCAACTGTGAATGGGATTGTTTCCTTAGTTTCCCTTTCTGATAGTTCATTATTGATATATAAAAATGCAACTGATTTCTGGATATTTATTCTGTATCCTCCTATTTTACTGCATTCATTGATCAGTTTTGGTAGCTTTCTGGTGAAATATTTAGGGTTCTCTATATACAGTATCATGCCATCTGCAAATAATAACTTTTAATTTTTTCTTTCCAATTTGGAATGCTTTCATTTTTCTTCTTGTCTTATTTTTGTGGCTAGGACTCCAGTACCATGTTGAATCAGAGTGGTGGAAGCAGACATCCCTGTCTTGTTCTTCATCTTAAGAAAAAAAACTTTTATTTATTTTTATTTTTAAAAATTTTATTTATTTATTCCTAGAGAAAGGGGAAGGGAAGGAGAAAGATAGGGAGAGGAACGTTGATGTGAGAGAAATATTGATCAGTTGGTTCTCACACGTGCCCCCAACTGGGAACCAACCCTGTAACCTGGGAATCAAACTGGTGACCCTTGACTTCCCAGAACAATGCCCAACCAACTGAACCACACCATTCTGGGCAGGGAAACACTTTTGGTTTTTTCACATTGAGTATGATGGCTGTGGGTTTGTCATGACCTTTATTATGTTGAGGTATCCCCACTTTGCTGAGAGTTTTTATCAGAAATAGGTGCTGGATTTTATCAAATACTTTGTCTGCATCTTTGATATGATCATGGGATTTTTATCTTTCGTTTTGTTTATATGATGTATCACATTTATTCATTTGCTGATATTGTACCAACCTTATTAAAATCCCCTACTATGATTGTATTCCTGTTAATCTCTCCTTTTATGTCCATCAAGATTTGCTTTATATATTTAGAAGTTCCCATGTTGGGTGCATAAATGTTTACAAGGGTTATATACTCTTGTTGGATTGTTTCTTTTCTCATTATGTAGTGACATTCTTTGTCTCTTACTATAGCCTTTGTTTTAAAGATTATTTTTTCTCATATAAGCATCACTACCCCAGCTATTTTTTTCTTTTCCATTTGCAGGAAATATCTTTTTTATCCCTTCACTTTTAGTCTGTGTGTATCTTTCATTCTGATGTGGGTCTTTTATAGACAGCATGTATATATGGGTCTTATTTTCTTATCCATTCAGCTACTATATGTCTTTTGATTGGAACATTTAAGCCATTTACATTTAAGGTAGTACTTATTTATTGCTATTTTATTCTTTTAATTTTGTTCCTCTGTTTTTTCTTTCCCCCTTCTCCTTCTTCCTTCTCTTCCTTCTTCCTCTTCCTCCTCCTCCTTCTCCGTCTCCTGCCCCTCCTTCTCCTCTCCCTCCTCTTCCTCCTCCTCCTCCTCTCCTCCTCCTCCTTTTCCAAGCCCTTAACACTTCTTGTAATACTGGTTTGGTGGTAACAAACTCCTTTTGCTTTTTCTTGTCTGGGAAGCTCTTTATTTCTCCTTCAATTTTAAGTCAGCCTTGCTGTGTAAAGTAGTCTTGGATGTAGGTCCTTGCTTTTCATCACTTTGAATATTTCATGCCAATCCCTTCTGGCCTGAAATGTTTATGTTGAGAAATCAGTTGAGACTCTTATGGAAACTCCCTTGTAGGTAACTGCCTTTCTTTTGTGGCTTTGAAGATTCTCTCTTTGTCTTTAACCTTTGGAATTTTAATTATGTGTCTTCATGTGGGCTTCTTTGGGTACATCTTGTTGAGACTCTCTGCATTTCCGGGACTTGTGTTTATTTTCCCTTCATCAGGATAGGAAAGTTTTCAGTCATTGTTTCTTGAAATAGATTCTCGATCCCTTGATCTCTCTTTTCTTCTTCAGGTACTATATGATATAAATGTTGGTAGGCTTAAAGTTGTCCTACTGGTCCCTTACACCATCCTCATATTTTAAAATTCTTTTTTATTTTTTCTGCTCTGATTGGGTGTTTTCTGCTACCTTGTCTCCCAAGTCACTGATTTGATCCTCTGCTTCATCCAACCTACTGTTTATTCCTTCTAGTGTATTCTTTATTTCAGACTTTTAAAATATGGTTTCTATGTCCTTTTTAATGCTACTGTAGTTCTAACTAAGTACTTTGAGCATCCTTATAACCATTTATGAACTCTATAATAAATTGCTTGCCTCCATTTTATTTAGCTCCTTTTCTGGAGATTTCTCCTTCCTTTTTTTTCCATTTGGGGCATGTTTCTTTGTCCCCCCATTTTGGCTGACTCTTTGTCTTTGTTTCTATGTATTAGGTAGATCTGCTATAATTCCCAGTCTTTGCAGGGTGGCCTTATGTAGTAAGTGTCCTGAAGTCCCCAATGGCACAGTCTCCATGACCACCTGAGCTGTGTGCTCTAGAATGTTTCTTGTGTGGGTAATGTGGACCCTCTTGTTGTAAATGAGTCTAGATTGCTGTTGGCCTATTTGTGTATGGGTTTGACCCTTAGTTTGGCTGACTGTGGGGGTCAACCTCACAGGTGTACAAGCTGGTGTGCAGGTGCTGACCACAGAAAGCGAAATTCAACTCAGAAGGTCTGGTGCCTACTATATCTCCCTTTGCATATGCTGCTTATAAAACTTATTGGATTCTGTTCTGATGTTGTCTGGAGCTGACCACTGGGTGTGTTGGTTCTAGGGCCTCTTGAGACGTTCTCTGGTGCAAGCTAATGTCAGATGCTGATTGTGACTGGTCCTGGGTAACCACTTTGGAGCTGCAAAGTGATCCACAGTTTGTGGCTGCCTCTGCTGGGCCTGAGTATGTGTGGGAAGAAGCAAGATGTACAGCAAGGCCAACTTTCACCTGCTTTTGCTGGCCTGGTGCAGGTCAGCAGAAGTCCCAAGACACCCCAAGATCTGCCTTTGTCTGCCTTCACCTACCAGCTGCCTGTTAGGCTCAGTCACTGAGAGAACCTCTGGAGGTACTTGAGTTACATGACGTAAGTTCTCAGTGAGTCACCAGATAGAGGTGGATGGTGTTCACTAGACTGATATGGGTTCAAACTTGGTGCCATCACTAGGTGTGAGACTGCTCAGCAAATGTCCCAGGGTATACTAAGTCTAGCTTCCACTTACTGGGTGTTCGCACAACTTTGTGGTGTAGTGGGGTTTCAGGGAGTCACCAAGATGAAGGCAACAGAATTTATCAGGCCTAACAGACTAAGATCTGGCCATGTGAAGGGAGGGCTCTTCACTTGTCATGCATACAAAGGAAAGATGGCCCTCATCCTAGAGCCACACAACTCAATCTGTCCCAGATTCTATGGGGAGGAGACTGAGCTCAGCAGGGCAGGGACATGGGGAGTCAGGAGGGTGGAGCCACCAGGAGCCTGGAGAACGGGGCTAGGGGATCTCCCCTGAGGGGGAGGTACCACAGGTTCACAGGAAAATGGGGAGAAAGGCCCTCACCCCATAGCCTCAACTTAGTCACTGACACCCCCTGAGTCTGCTCAGACCTCTACATCCTGGCCCAGGCAGCTGACTTCTCAGCAGAGTACAAGCTCTGCAGGGTGGGCCAAGAGGGAGTCCAGAATTATGGGCTATTGTTTTCCCTTAGGCTGACGCCATAAGGAGGGGAGTGCTCCACCCAAGAAAGATGGCATCTGTGGTGTGAGAAAGTGACTCAGCACAGGGATCCTGATGGCTGTCCCTTCAGCTCTCTCCTTGGAGGCACAATCTCCAGAATCTCCTCACGTGGCACTCATCTGCTTCTACTTCCATCTGCTGGAGCCCAGGGTGAGTGGCGGTGAATGAGATTTTGTGAAGTTGCCCTTTAAAAGGGTACCTGTATCTCTAGCAGACTCATGTCTCTCCCTGGCAGATGAAATCTTTCCTGATTTTAACAGTCAGATGTTATTTTCATGGTGGGCACCTCTTTCTGGCTCTGGTGCTCTGGGATGGGGAGCCTGGCTTGGGGTTGAAACTCCACACTTCTCAGGAGGAATCCCTGACAGCTGAGATATTCCTCTGGATTCTCAGCCTCCATCTATGGGAGCGAGGCTGGCCCTTTTTGCATCTCCAACCTTCCTACCAGTCTTGATATGGTTTCTTCTGTAAATCCTTGGTTGTAAGACCTCTTCAGCTAGTCTTCAGTTGGTTATTCAGGTTGCTTACTCTATATTTTAGTTGTAATTCCAGTTTGTTCCTGGGAGGAGGTGAGTGTAACATCAACCTACTCTGCCACCATCTTGGATCCCTGCTGTATGTCTTATCTTTTTTGTTCCTCAGTTTCTTCATTATTGTTTTATTTTCTGTTTAATTGATTTTTCTGTAGTGAAATCTTTTGATTCCCTTTTCATTTCCTTTTCTGTGTGTTTTAAATATATTTTCCTAGGTGTTTTCATGGGGGTTACAACTAACAGTCACTGAAAGAGCCGTAATTTATAACACTCTAGTTTGAATTGATATCAACTTTGCTTCTATAATACACAAAATCACTGCTCCTATAATGGTTCTACCCCCATCTTTATATTATTGTCACAAATTACATTGCTGCATTGTGTGTCCATTAATATAGATTTATAAGATTTTAAATGTTTTTTGTCTTTTAAATCATATGGATAATAAAGAAAGGAGCTTAATCCGAAATTATAAAAACATTGGCTTTTTCATTTTCCCATGTTGTTACATTTACTGGAGTTTTCTTATTTCTTCATATGACCTCAAATTTCTGCTTAATGTCCTTTCATTTCAACCTGAAGGACCTGCTTTAACATTTTTCATAGGGCAAATCTGCTAGCAATAGACTTCTAGGGATTTTGTTTAAGTGGGATTGTCTTAATTGTACCTTAATTCTTGAAGAATGGTTTTGCCGTTTGTAAAATATGTGGTAAACAGTTTTTTCCCCCAGCTCTTGAAATATATCATTGCTGTCCTCTCTTGCCTCCATGGTTTGTGATGCGAAATCAGCTGTTATTGCAGGTCCCTGCTCTGTCTCTCATTGCTTTCAAGATTCTTCCAAGCACCAATGTCTTTTGACAGTTAGTTATAGTTTGTCTTGTGTGGATTTTTTTTTTTGAGTTTACCTCACTAGGTTTTTTTTAGTTTTTTGGATGTACAGATTCATGTGTTTCATCAAATCTAGGAAGTTTTTGTCCATTATATCTCAAATATTCCTTCTGCCCATTCTCTTTATCCTTCTGGAGCTCTCACAATGCATATGTTGATCTGTTTAATGGTGTCCCACAGGTCTTTAAAGTCCTGTTCAGTTTTCTTCATTTTTTTCTTTCTGTACCTCCTCAAACTAAATAATTTCAATTTTCCTGTCTTCAAATGTACCGTTTTCTTTTTCTGCTTGTTCATAACTGCTGCTGCAGCCCTCCAGTAAGTTTTTTTTTTTACATTAGTTATTGTACTTTTGAGCCCTGGAAGTTCTATTTTGTTCCTTTTGAAAATTTCTACCACTTTGTTGGTGTTCTTATGTTGTTAATATATTATTTTCCTGATTCCCTCAGTTCTATTTAAAACAGTATATTTAAAGTCTTTACCTAGGAAGTCTAATGTTGGGACTTCCTTGGGATTGTTTCAGTTGATCATTTCCCCTAGGAATAGCAATACTGTTCTGATTCTTTGTATGCCTTATACTTTTTGTTGAACACTGTAATTTTGAATACTATATTTTAGTAACTTTGGAAATTAGATGCTTTCTCTTTTTCAGAGTTTGCTCTTATTGATTTTGATGTCCATTTGTTTAGTGACTTTTCCAGACTATTTTTGCAAAGATTGAATTCTTTGCTGTATGTGTTCTCTAAAGTTTTTGTTTCAGTACCTCAGTGGTCAGCCAGTGACCTAAGGGAGATTTCCTTAAATACCTGGAGCCAAGAAGGAAAAATAAAGCACTCTTTCAGTCTCTGTAGCTTGATTCTGAATTGGGGGCATTCCTTCAATGCTAAGCCATGCTTCCTACAGCTGTTTTAGCCTTCACTTTCTACTTGTGTGGAGTCCATAGTACCAGAGGTGAAACCAAGGGATGTCTCAGGTCTTTCTAAGTATGTTTTTCATCCTGGGCATGCACATTGTACTCTATTTTTCCCAGTATGTGCAGTGGCCCTTCAGCGTCCTTATTCCCTCAATAACCTTCTCTGCCACTTCTTCCTCAGGCTTTTGGGCTTTGTAGGCAACTTGTCCCATCTGCCATCACTTGCCCCAAGAGGGCATGGAGTGTGTATTACTTTAAATCTTTCTACAAGTACTGCTGCTGCCTGGATATCCATGCCTGCCTGGTGGGGTAGAAGGGTATAAAAACATTAAGCTCTGAGCCTTCTTTTTGGGAATTACCAGACAGATTTTAAAAAACCGTACAATTACAGTATTTTAAGAATAAGGTCTGCACTAGCCCCCTGATACCAGTAAGCTACATTAGAAATGCAGGCCACCATCCCCACAGCTGCCACTATGCCAGGAAATGAGAAATAAGAGCAAGGTAGGCAAAAATGCCACAATGTCCTTTTACTGAAATTCCGTTTTTCTTTTTTCTTTCTTAAACATTTCCCTGGTTGCTATAGATTTAGGACTTAAAGACAGATCAAATCAATCTTTGCCAGCTTATGTTTGTTTCCGTTGAGAAACTCATCATTTAAAAGTCTTAATGTCACTATTTCCCACGATGTCACCTGGTTTCTATGTTTTCTTAACTTTACATTTTTATGGAGTTAAAATTTACAAAGAGCAAAATAGATAAATCTTAAGCATATGGCTTGATGAACTTTACATATGCAGGCACTTATATTGCTGCCACTCAGATCAAGATACAAAATGTCCTCAGTTCCTCAGAAGATTCCTTCATACCCCTTCCAGGACACTTATTTACTCTTCAGGTAGCCATTATTATGACCGCTATCACTTTAAACTGGTTTTGCCTGTTAGAACTTTTTATACATGGAATTAACAGTGGATATACTTCTGATTCTGGCTACTTTTGCTCAGCCTAATTTTGGGATTCATCCATACATGTAGCTGAAGTTAATTCTTTTTAAAAAATTACTTAAACAGGCTGTTGAAGTCCAAGCTAAGTTCCTTGAGCATCTTTATAACCAGTGTTTGAACTCTGCATCTGATAGTTGCTTATCTCCATTTCATTTAGTTCTTTTCCTAGAGTTTCTATCTGTTCTTTCATTTGGGCCATCTTTCTTTGTCTCCTCATTTTGGCAGCCTCCGTGTGTTTGTTTCTATGTATTAGGTAGAGCTGCTTTGATTCCATGTCTTGGTAGTGTGGCCTAATGCAACAGGTGTCCTGTAGGGTCCAGTGGTACAACCTTCCCTATTACCCAAACTGGGTACTCAATGTGTGCCCTTCATGTGGGTTGAGTACACCTTCCTCTTGTAGATGAACCTTGATAGTTGTTGGCAGATCAATGGGAGGGATTTACCCAGGCCAGTCAGCTGCAATGACTGGCTGTGACCACTTATCACCAACTTCCACCATCCATGGAGGATCAGCTGTGCAGGGGCAGGGTGGGGCTCTGACATGATCTATAGCTATCCTCTGGATGCAAGGGCTCTGGAGTTTCCTTGGTAGTGCAGGCCCCCACCTGTGTTTTGCCTGGGGTCACCTTGCATGAGCTATAAAGCAATCTGAGATTGCTGCTACTTGTACTGGGCATAGAGATTCCCAGGTGAAGCCAAGCTGTGAATCTAGGCTAGCTGCTGCTAGTTCTTGGCCTGGGGCCACTTAGCAAGTGGTATGGGGGCTCACTGAGGCTGGCTGTTGCTTGTTTGATAGGATTTAGGAAGTTGTGAAGCATGAGCCAAAACCAGCCATTCATATAGAAAAGAAGCTTGGGTGGGCCTGGGTAGGTCGGAGTCTCTGGAGATCTCCTGGATGGGGCTAACAGTGTTAGCCAGGTTGATGGAGTCTCAGATATGGCATCTGCCTGCTGATTCTGTGGCTGTGTGGGAGAAAGGTTCAGAAAAGGAACAATGGCCACTGCCCACCTTTCTGTCTGGGAGAAAGTTGTCCCCCAACTCTTGCCTTGATGCTGAACACTTCAGTTTCTGCCTGTATGTCACTGGTGCCTTTTAAGCTGCTACCCTGGTGCTGGAGCTCAGAGGGAGTAAATCTGAGTAAGTCTGTGTGTGGGTTCTTCAAGAAGAACTGTTTGGGACTCCAATAGTTTCTTCCACTGATTCTGTCCCTGCTGGTTTTTGCAGCCAGAAGTTATGGGGACTTATGTTCCTGTCACTGGAACCTGGGCTGGGGGTACTGGTGTGGGGCTGGGACTCCTCACTCCCAAAATATTCCTTCTGATTTTTATTCACCACACATAGATGTGAGACCAGTCTGTTCTGCCTCTCCACCCTTCCCACAACATAAAAAAGATACAGTCAGAAACAAAGGATACACTAATTGAAATAAAGAACAATTTACAGAATTTACAGGGAAACAACAGTAGAGTGGATGAAGCTGAGAATCAAATCAATGATTTGAAACATAAAGAAGCAAAAGACAACCAATCAGAAAGACAAGAAGAAAAAAATAATCCAAAAAAAAAAATGAGCATAGTGTAAGTAGCCTCTGGGACAACTTCAAGCATTCCAACATTTGCATCATAGGGATGTCAGAAAGAGAAGAGAAAGAGCAAGAAACTGGAAATCTATTTGAAAAAATTATGAAAGAAAAATTCTCTAATTTAGTGAAGGAAATAGACGTGCAAGTCCAGGAAGCACAGAGAGTCCCAAACAAGATGGATACAAAGAGGTCCACTCCAAGACATGTCATAATTAAAATGCCAAAAGTT